TTTCCTTTACCACTTTTGGGTGCTCTCGGTGTATTGGGGACAGCAGTTCTTACGGGTTATATATTTTGCATATGTAAAAGTTATAATTTGACCTTATCTTTTTATTAACATAGTGTTACATTTTTACATAATCTGTCAGCTTATTTATTGTTGTGTTTTCTGTCTTTCCTAAGAATGTTTTTTTACCCAAACTTACACAAATATTTACATATCTTTTGGCACTATTATTGTATTTAGAGACTTATTTATTGAAAATAGTTGCGCTGATTGTATTTATAAACACAGTCAAAATGTGGTAACATTTTTATATATTATATTTTGTGTCACTCTTGTTCCCCCACCACCAAGTTTATATGATTTTACGGAGAATATTAGCACAAATATTTAAATGATTCATTCCTACTTTTTTCAGACCAACTACTACTATCTTTCTAGGTCTGTAGGCATGCTTTTCTTCAACAATATTCCCAAACTTTCTTCTCCTAACATAGTCTATCCTCAAAATCCTGTCCTCCTTTCTGGTACCACTAGCACAAATCCTTTTACTCTTGTGCCTCAGGGAAACCTTTATAAACTATATAGGTTGACCAAATTACTAGTGATTAATAAAATCAGCAGGAAAGAGTACATTTATGCAGAGAACGTGCTCTACCAAAAGCGTCATTGTGCTGTTTCGTAAATGCGTGTATGTGGGAGGCTGTATACTTAGCCATTGAATAACAAAGATTGAACTGCCTGGGTTTGAGTTCTGGCTCTACCTCTTATTATAATCTAGGGCAAACTACTTAACTTCACTTGCAGTAATTTTTATTTGAACTGAATAGCTCAAACTATGCTTACTGTGTGCCAGGCATTTTCCAAGTACTTCACATATATTAACTCCTAATCCTCACAAGCACTCTAAATTATCCTCATTTTATACATGGAGACATGAGGTTCAGAAAGCTTAAATAATTTGCACAAGCTAGGGAGTGGGGGGAAGGGCAGTTGTAATCATAAGTGCCTAATAAATGTTTCTTTCTTCATTCTTCTTTTCTACTCCCCTCTAGCCCTTCCTTTCCTCTCCTGGCTTTCCTCTTTGTACCATTTTCCACCTCCTCCTATCTCTTCTTCCCCCGCTTCACCCTTTCCCCTCTCTTCACCCTTCTTTCCTTTTCTCCTTGTTCCTCCTACTCCTCTTCTCTCCCTTTCAGCCCCCGCCTCATTTCCTCCTCCTTCCCTTCTTTCTCCTTCTCTACCTTGTCATCTTATTATATCATTTTCAGTGTCAGTGTCCTTCATCCTTTGGGGTGTACCAAGATCAATCAGAGACAGATCCTGCTGCAGAGGCCTTACCATCTGTTAGAAGCTGGAAGACATAGAACTTGCTTAAAATGAAATGGAAAGTAAGAGATTTCAGTGCTATTCAAGTTTTAAGGGAACAATAATGTCTTTCCTGGGGGCAAAACAAAACAAAACAAAAAAAAACAGCTTTATGGAGGGACAGTCTCATTCAATGGTATCAGAAAAGGCCCTGTAAAGGCAGTAGTTATATTCTATCTACTCCACTGTATTTAGAATATTTCCTAAATTTATCAGCCTCCCTCTTGATTATTACGTGTGATGGATCTTAAGTTCACTAATTGATCTCAGTACTTTTTAGACTCTTATTTTGTAATGAATGAGTGACCAGTATGGTAAGAGTTAAAATGAAAATGTTAAAGGAGTCTGATTGGGCCATTTGTGGAGAGTTTGGAACACCTTTCAGTACTAACAAGTCAGTCCTCATAGATTGAGGATAGCAAAGAAAAGATAGATTGGTGTGCCTAAGTCGACAGTAGGTAGAAACATGGTCAGTGGCTACACAAATCCATGTACCCCTAGTCAGTTGCTATGTGTAATCAGTCCCCAAAGAGTTCTGAAAATAATCTGCTTGTGTAAACTGTCATTTATATCATAACGTAGCTCTTCTACATCTGTGAAGTGTCATCCTCAGTAAGTACCTCTTCAGAATGCCCAGGCACCATGGCAACAGGCACCTCAGGAAAAGTGAGATGGGCTTTTAATTGCAGCGTCAAAAAGTACATTTCAGCAAGTTTCAAAAACGAGTGCATTATATGACGAAAAGTTATAATTATTTTAGTCATCTCAGCATGAATGCCAGGTGTATTTTTGGCATGGGTCTTCTTAGAAATAAGCATCCTGATTCAATTTGAAAGCATACATGTTACATTGGAGAAAATTATATTAAAAGTTACTAGAAGTTAGGTATCTACTACCTATATAAGTTTGTGTTCCTATTAATATTTTCCACTAAAATATAAGTGAATTTGCATGAATGCTTCCTTTCATTACTCACAGTGTAAGATATAGGGAGACCTCATTGTCTTTAGGATGGTTTGTCCCTAAGGGGATAGATGCTCAGTTGCCTGTGTGTATCAGCTTTTATTTTCCATTTTTATTTATTGACAAAATCAATATACTATTTGGAAACTGCCAAATTGGTTCTAGAGATCTGAGAGACTAAAATTTGGAGAGCAACATAAGGTCGGCCTTCCCAGGATGTTGCTTGAACCGGACCCAGAGTCCTAATTTTAAATGGTTGCTTTACTTGGTGAAATAGATTGGACATTGGCTTTACAGATAAAATGCCCTTGACGTCTTGGATCTCAGTTCTTCAGAAAGGATAAAGAGGATATTAGAAGGGTAATTTCTTTTATTCCTTCCAGCCCTAATGTTCTGTGATTCATCTGAGTATTAATTTACACGCAGTTATATGGTGATGGGTGGAAGCATTTAAAGAAACTTTGAAAATGAATGAATTCATACGACAAGAAAAAATAAAGAGAAAAAACTTAATAGTCTATTTTTGGTCCTATCAGGGGTAAGGTATAAATTATTTACCTTAATAGGTATAAAATGAAATTGAAAGTAATAGATACGGTGTACAGGGAAGTTTCCAGGAAGAAAACTTATGGGAAGATGTTGAAACCAGATGTGATTTAAACACCTAAGTACTCACATCTACTTTCCAGTTCTACTTTTTTCTGAAATTAGCCGTAGTCTTTTGCATATAGTTAGTGTTCAGAGAATATTTGTGGAATGAATCAACTAATAAAAAATAGTTGGGCCTAGCTCATCCGAGCTAAGGAGTTTATATGGTACAGATCTTTGTGGTAACACAAAGAAGAGGTGGCCCAACACAGATATCAGTTAGATTAGGTTTGACCTCAGAAATAATATTTTCAATTGAGTCAAGAACCTTACAAAAAGAAATGTGCTAAAGGACAAGGTTAGTATTTTTTTTCCCCAAATTTTGTCTGTATTAATTTTCTTCTGAACTCACACATCAGATTTTCTGAGAGACATGTGTCATCACATTAGTCCCCTTTGCCCTAGTTTGTTACCCCTTGGCCCAAGCAGTGAAGGCCAGGTCCATTGTCTTCTGCTGGTAGTTGTACACCCATAGGTGATGGATAAGGCAATATATTTTTATTTTTTATTTTTCTTATTACTAAGTAGAATATACAGCTGTGTTTCTCCCCTCCTGAAAGGGTCTCCTTAGAAATTTTCTGGACCTGAATCCTAACCCCTTTGGTATATTAATAAAATGTCTCCAGGAGCCAGATAACACCCCCCATGTTTTATATATTATGACATAGAGTTTTCTCCAAGTTCTGTGGCTTCACCTTTTTTGACATGTAATACCCAGAAATATAACACCCCAGTCTTCTTGAGCTAGGAACCTAGTTCATCAGATAACAGTTTGGCCCTCTTGAGAAGACCTAAGAAGTTTTCGTATTTTGAATCAAAGCAATTAACTAGATAAATGGTTACAGTTTTAATTCTCATGGCATGTGAAGGGTGGAATATTTTTACAGGAAGTGAAAGCAACCGTTCCCTTGTTTGTATCATATACATTTCTGAGGCTCAGCAGGCTAAGGGTTTCTGCATAGTACTGAGAAATCCAGGGATGTTTTATTTCTCTACAATTAGGTGTTTTAAGTGGAAAGAAACTCTACCAGGTCACGTAAATATTTTATGTAAAAATAGCAAATGATGGCTTATGTATAATAGATGGAGTAAGGTATGCTTTCTAAAATGACTTAAAAATATAGCAGGGAGAAAAGTAAAGGCAGTAGTAATATTATTAGAAACAACCACATCTGGGAATCTCTCTCTATATTTAATAACCTTGACTCTTGTAGTATTTCAGACTTAACTAAAAGATTCCTGTTTCTATACACATGTCGATAGAATATTTGGAAAATGTCTTTGAACTGACTCTTGCTTGGCACAGAATTTCAAAGAATCCTCATGATCATTTGTTCTATTCCTATCTGTTGAAATTTCTGAACTTGGATGAGATGCAATAATGTAAAACCTTATATATATGTACAAGGTAATATGCAAAGATGAGTATTTCTGTCAGGATTTTTTAAACCAATTACCTTTAATTGTTATCTATTTGTTGAAAAAGATAAGTATTCTCTGACATTGTGACTCAGGTGATGAATTGGTTGGATACCTGTTGTTTGCCTCAGTCATTGAAACCAGGAGTATATGGTATAACATCCTATTCTCTCTAAAAATAGTTTCTGTGTTTTTGGTTTTGTTCTGAGTATATTACTTTTCTCTTTGGTCCTTATAATCACAGTTTGGTTTTTATTTTTTAAATTAGAGATGGAGTCTTGCTCTGTCACCCAGCCTGGAGTTATGCTGTCATGGATTACTATATCCATCTCCTGGGCTCAGGTGATCCTCCCCGTGTAGCCACCCAAGTAGCTGAGACTACAGGTGTGCACCATCATGCCCAGCTCATTTTTTAATTGTTTTGTAGAGATAGGGTCTTGCCATGTTGCCCAGGATGGTCTTGAACTCCTGGCCTCAAATAGTCCTCCTGCTTCAACCTCTCAGTGTTGGGATCACAGTTGCAAGCCACAACACTTGGCCACAGTTTTAAAGTTTCAAAAATAAATAGAAATAACTAGTTGACTTACTTGACTTACTGTTTCTTTCAGCTTTTTGCCTGAATTCATCAATGGAGACTTTGATTCTATTAGGCCTGAAGTCAGAGAATACTACGCTACTAAGGTAAAATGTAAACACTTTTTTGTTGAAGATCTTTCCATATGGTTGCTTTTTCTATGTTTCCAATTTTCACGGTGTATAGGAAGACATTGGTAAACTCATTGGTTGGTTACCTTTTATAGTTTTTTTATTTTAGCAATTGTAATATACATTCAAGATGGAAACTTACACTTTTTCGCCACGGGTTTGCCGCCAGAACACAGGTGTCATGAAGACTACCTCTAAAAGCCAAAATGAGAAAGGAAAAGACTCATGTCAGCATTATCATCATTGGACACGTAGATTCGGGCAAGTCCACCACTACTGGCCATCTGATCTACAAATGCAGTGGCATCGACAGAAGAACCATTGAAAAATTTGAGAAGGAGGCTGCTGAGATGGGAAAGGGCTCCTTCAGGTATGCCTGGGTCTTGGATAAACTGAAAGCTGAGCGTGAACATCATATCACCATTGATACCTCCTTGTGAAAATTTGAGACCAGCAATACTACGTGACTATCATTGATGCCCCAGGACGCAGAGACTTCATCAAAAACATGATTACAGGGACATCTCACGCTGACCGTGCTGTCCTGATTGTTGCTGCTGGTGTTGGTGAATTTGAAGCTGGTATCTCCCAGAATGGGCAGACCCGGGAGCATGCCCTTCTGGCTTACACACTGGGGGTGGCACAACACATTGTTGGTATTAACAAAATGGATTGCACTGAGCCACCCCACAGCCGGAAGAGATACGAGGAAATCGTTGAGGAAGTCAGCACTTACATTAAGAAAACTGGCTACAACCTTGACACAGTAGGATTTGTGCCCAATTCTAGTTGGAATGGTGACAACGTGCTGGAGCCAAGTGCTAACACGACTTGGTTCAGGGGATGGAAAGTCACCGGTAAGGATGGCAATGCCAGTGGAACCACACTGCTTGAGGCTGTGGATCACATCCTGCCACCACCTTGTCCAACTGACAAGCCCCTTTGCCTGCCCCTCCAGGATGTCTACAAAATTGATGGTATTAGTACTGTTCCTGTTGGCCGAGTGGAGACTGGCGTTCTCAAACCTGGTATGGTGGTCACCTTTGCTCCAGTCAACGTTAAAACTGAAGTAAAATCTGTCAAAATGCACCATGAAGCTTTGAGTGAAGCTCTTCTGGGGACAGCGTGGGCTTCAATGTCAAGAACGTGTGTGTCAAGGATTTTCGTTGTGGCAACGTTGCTGGTGACAGCAAAAACGACCCACCAATGGAAGCAGCTGGCTTCATTACTCTGGTGATTATCCAGAACCATCCAGGCCAAATCAGTGCTGGCTATGCCCCTGTACTGGATTGCCACACGGCTCACATTGCATGCAAGTTTGCTGAGCTGAAGGAAAAGATTGGTCGCCATTCTGGTAAAAAGCTGGGAGATGGCCCTAAATTCTTGAAGTCTGGTGATGCTGCCATCGTTGATATGGTTCCTGGCAAGCCCATGTGTGTTGAGAGCTTCTCAGACTATCCACCTCTGGGTTGCTTTGCCGTTCGTGCTATGAGACAGACAGTTGCCGTGAGTGTCATCAAAGCAGTGGACAAGAAGGCTGCAAGGTCACCAAGTCTCCCCAGAAAGCTCAGAAGGCTAAATGAATATTATCCCTAATACCTCCCACCCAGTTTTTAATCAGTGGTGGAAGAACGGTCTCAGAACTGTTTGTTTCAACTGGCCATTTAAGTTTAGTAGTAAAAGACTGGTTAATGATAACAATGCATCATAAAACCTTCAGAAGGAAAGGAGAATGTTTTGTGGACCACGTTGGTTTTCTTTTTTGTGTGTGGCAGTTTTAAGTTACTAGTTTTTAAAATCAGTACTTTTTAATGGAAACAACTTGACCAAAAATTTGTCACAGAATTTTGAGACCCATTAAAAAAATTTAATGAGGAAAAAAAATTGGAAACTTACAAAATGACAAGTTGGAACACACTCTTGGGGAAATTTTATTACCATTATGTAAAAATTAATTCTTTAAACATATATATTTAAAAAGAGCTTATAATTTATATATGCTCATTTAATAATACACAATTGTTGCCTATATTCTCATTATTATATGTTTCTCATGGATCATTTTAACTTCATTTAATGAATGTGTCTTATTTCATTTAACCAATTCCCAATTAATGTACATTTCAGGTGTGCATTTTTTGGTTTTGTAAACTCTGCTAAAATCATCTTTGTAAATGAATTTTTGTAAAAATGCATAATTGTGTACTCACTGGAATTTAGGACTAACATTTTTTCTTTAACATTTAGTTTTCTTGAAATTATTATTACTCTGTTTTGAATAAAACTATTCGCTACAACTTGAGATTGGTAATAACCTACATCTTTTGAAAAGGTGTTAATTTTCTCATTATTATGCAAATCTTTCAAAGATCCTTGCCACTTAAGAACATATAAATGATCTAATTGGGAATGATATAAGTCACATGGTAGTGTATTAAAGTAACCAGTAATTCAAGGTCTCAGTGGTTTTGGAAGACAGTGAAGAGTTTTTCAAATAAAAATTATAGCATTAGTAATTCTAGCCACAGCACCGTCATCTGTGTTTAATTCTAAACTGGCATTAGTAAAGTATGTATTTTTTAAGAAAGAAACATCAGGTATTGAAATCACAAAACTTTAAATTCTTCATGAGGCTTGCGGGGAGATTAGATAATTCATAAAGAAGAGAAGGAGCCTGTCTCAGAAAGGAAGGAGGGAAGAGAAAAAGGTAGGAAAATGAAGAGAGGAAAAAGGAAACATGATTCTAGGTGGAAACACAAAGGTGCTTTGCTTATAAGGTATAGCGTGTGATGATATGGAAATTCTGGGGCTGGTGGTGAATGCAGGTCTCTGCACATCCCATCTGCCCACCAGCTGATCCGACTTTCCCTCAGCAAATGAAGACCGTTCCCAAGTCAGTGTTTGATATTCATGCTCAATTGCTTTAACATTGGCATGTTCCTGTTCATTCCCCACAGTCTCCCTTCTCATTAACTCCATACCTCAATCTCGTTGGGATGGAAAAGTCACAGCCTTGCTTACAATGCAGAGTTTTACAAATGCATAGATATTAATCATATTTTCAGCAGCAGAAGAAACAGTGAGAGAGGCAGAGACAAGCATACTCAAAAAACAAGTTGAAGATCTGGTCAGGTGTGACTCCTCTCCCTCTTCTTTAATGCTGCTGGCTTGCCAAAATCAGAAGTGCCAGCCTGATCACACCTATCCAAGATAAGAAAATAGGGGAAGCCAGCCTTTTTATATCTTAGGCAGTAAAATGAGGGTCAAGGATAGAGGAAATTTTTGAGTTAATGCCCCTTGATGAATTTCTCTTATATTTCCTGCTTCACTTTATTTTAACCTTAAAAACTAAATTATATTTGTTGAGGTTTAGTTTTTAAAGTAAGAATCTTTAGCTGAATCTTCTAATTGTTGAACTGCCTAGTTCTAGGTCGATACAGTATAATCCACTTTCTTCATGTATCAGTGTTGAACTCACTGCTTTGAACTTTTAGGCTAAGTTCCTAGAGGGCACAGATGATGTCTTTTATATAGTTAATGTGCCCTGTAGAGCACATGGTGAGTGTTTGGCTGTAGTTTTAATAATGATGATAATTACAACAAGTTAATGCAACATTACACACGATTCATATAAGCCATTATCTCCAACTTAAACAGCCTTTACACCACTCTTTCACAATTGAAAGGCGGTTATCTTCATTTTCAAATACACCCCCTCTCCACCTGGTCTGGGTTTGCAATGAAGGTGAAACTGGGAATCTAGTAAAGTGAAGAAATTTAAAATACCAAAACTTTGTTAAAATCAGAAAGTGGATTGTGTAGCCAACATTTCTTCATACAAAGTGTTAAGCCTGGCAACTGGTGTACAGTCCTGGATTTATAAAGTCCTGGTTTTGAGGTAGCTTTAACATCTTGGTGCTTTCCCTTTTGCCTGTTTGTCTTAGCTCCTCTCTGCCTGGTTCACTACTATGAACTCAGAACGAGGAATATCTCTTACTGATTTTCCTCTTGATATTTTACTTTTCATTTTTCTGGGTCAGTCAGTGCTTCTTTGATTCAAAGCTAAAATCACCTACTTCAGTCTATCTATTATGCATATCCCCATGTTAATTTTCTGAGAACGTTAGAAGAAATAATGCTATCTTATCAGACTCCTGATATTCTTTCATTATTGTATTCTGTTGGGTCTTCAGTGGATTTAGGAAAGGGAGTTTTAAACATGTTTCCTTAATATTTAGGGGGTTAAGGAACTACTTGCAGGATTTAGCTGATGCCTTAAAAAATTACAGAATAACAAGGGTTTGCCATTAATGTAGGTTTATAGGATAGGAGTTAAAATATGTAAATGTAATAAAAATATGAAATACAGTCAACCCTTGGTATCCAGTGATTCATCCAACAGTGTATGGGGAACCTTGGGATATGCAGGGCCTAGTAAGGGACTTAAGCATCCTCAGACTTTGATGTTCTCTAGGGTCCTGGAACCAATCCCCTGTGGATATGAAGGGCCTACTGTAATTTAAAATAGAAGAAATTAAACAACATTCTTTATCCCAATTTTTTGATGAGGGAACTGAGGCCCAGAAAGCTAAGCGACTTCAGCAAAATGGTAGAGCTAGTGAGAGACGGCTTTAGGATCAATGCCCATGTTTTCTATAAAGAGAATGTTGTTAGAACTGGGACTGGGTCACTGCTACTGCTTCTCAACAGGTAACGCCTTTGGCCTATTGGGTAAGACAGCTGTTCCTTGCACTGGATATGTGGCACCCCTGGGAATGAATGCCACTATCACTGTCAATGTGATAACAGTCAACGACATAATCAAATACTTTACATTATGTTTCCAGTATGTCCCTCTAAACCTTTGATTTTGAGGCAGCAAGGGTAAAGGTGTGATAGTTGGACCAGACCATGAAAGATCAAAACCTTATAAACTGATAAATTATTAAATTACCTATTAATAAAAACCTATAAGA